GTTAGAGGGGGCTGAGCTTAAGGTATTCGGGGATACCTTTAATACAGTGACTGGAACAATACACAAATAACCCGAACATAGGAGAGAGAGAGAAGGTATCCCATACCATGGGATACCTTTGTCGGATACCACAACTACTGAAACTCATCTAATTATTGATATGTTTAATTGAGTCTTTCATCCCAGATGCGTAACGGTATACTATATAAGTCATCCAACATATACGTAACATCATACTCTAAGTATACGAGGTATGATGAAGTTCCTAATAGGATGCTAAGTAAAAGGAAACACCAACAACTAATAAGACAGTGCTGCTACGTTTCGCTCTCCTGGAGAGCCTGAGAAAATTCCTGAATAAGTACACAAATACGATCCTTCACGTACTGCATTTTTATTGTATCTATCACATTGATATTTAATACCATTTAATAACACTTAATACCACTAAATATCATTTCTCTCCATAAAGCTCCTGGAGAGCGAAACACAGACGCTATAACTGTCTCATTAGCTGCTCGTATGTCGTTTTGCCTTATTTATCGTCAATAATCCTACCAATATTTTTACCGTTTAATAAGAATATGCGGGATGGAAAGGCACATCGCTCATAAAGACGGAGTAAATAAATTGCGAAATGCAGAATAATGTGACAGCGTTCTGTTTTGTGTGTCAGACGTTTTAAACTCTACACAGCTTGAAGCGTTGACAGTCTGGAGACTATATGCTGTAAATGGTACATCACCTGCACAAACTCCGACGACACTCCTTCGGGAGCCACTGCCTGGTCACCACATGGAGGAGACCCGGGCCAGGATGCGTCCTGGAGCTTTATCACGCTCTTTCGTAGAGCGTAATATAGCAGCAATGTCTCATAAGCTGGCGAGTACTGTATCACTGCCACCAAGTACCATTATACAAGTGGTTGCTGCATCACTGATACCCAGATCCGTGACGCCTTAAGTTATTTAGTCGCTAATACCTATAGCCAGAAAGCAAGCAATTGCCTAATTACTGATACTCAGAACCGGCAACTCAGTAGTTGCTTAATTAGTCACTTATACTGGGTATAAGTGGATTAATCACTGACTAAGTCATTACCGAACAAGAACCTGTGTCAAGAGACGTTTTCTTGACGAGAAAATCACGTAGAAGAGGATGAGAAGAAGAAAGCTTGTCGTAGCACGGGAGGGAAAGAAGGAAGGGAGGAAGGAAGGAGAGAAGAGAGAGGTGAGGAAGGTCGCGTGGTAAAACTCACTCACGACACACGGGGAACACCCCCAATGCCTCGACTAGGTAGCCCCGGGCGTCAATAATCAGCCAAAACATAGCCCCCAGACCTACGCCAGCCACATAGCTCATGAAGAATTAGACACATGTGCAACATCTGCGTATCTTAATCTGTAGACGTTTCGCCATCCAGTGGCTTTATCAATATAAATTCAGGGACATAACTGGAAGGCTGTAGAACTATATACAAAAGACACAGCTTATACTCGGCCATGAGCCGTCGTAGCCCCATATACACCTAGGTATCTTTGTTTTAATAAAGATACCTAGGTGTTACATGTGTGTCTAATTCCTCATTCGTAAACCGTTATAATGTGTTGATCATGCTAAAATTCCCTCCCTCTCCATTCATATAATTTAGTAGCAGTTAAATATATGCAAATTTAAGATAACCAACCTCTAAGTAATGAAAAAAATATGAGGCCAAATGTTTTGTGGGGAATGCCCCTGGAGGTAGAATGCGTAGAGATAAACGAACGTGTATGCGTAAAGAAAACGAACACTGCGTTATGATTGCGGATTGCATGACGCGTTGCGTTACATGATGATTCTAACTCCTCCCTACTCCCCCATTCCCGAGGTGGGGGAGGAGGTGTTCACCGTTAGTGGGGAGAGGAGGAGGAAGAGGAGAAAGAGGAAGAGGAGGAAGAGGAAGAGGAAGAGGAGGAAGATTGGCAGTCCTTGGCTGACTGCTCGTCACCTCAGCTATCATGTTACTTTCTTGCGCGCTACGCCATGTCAATTTGTTAATGCTGTCTGCGTACACTGTTACATCCCGTCAGAGATACGCGAAGAACAAACATGAGAGTCAGTCAGGTTTGTTGCGAGGAAGGGAAGGGCAGCTCCAATTCCCCGGATCAAGAGCCACATACCAGCGTCAAAGGTCGAAGTTAAAATGCCTATGCTAAAGACGTTGTATGATTATTTCTCGGGATGGAGACAAGACAACGTTACAGATCAAGCATTTAGTGAGAGAATGTTTCGCTCTGTGTACGTAAACGTCTACACAGAGCGAAATGTTGTTTCAATCTTTAACATGAAACATGTGGTTTAGAACGTGAGCAAACAGTAAGATATATTTATTAGATGTTTCGGTCCTGGGCCCTAAATCAAGGTCCCAGAACCGAAACTATTTCTAATATATGTCCTGGTCTCAGGCCGGGCCGCGGGGGCGTTGACCCCCGGAACTCTCTCCAGGTATCTCCAGGTATAGTATCTGCTCGTATATCTTTCTAAACCAATTTGGTGGTTTATATTACCAAGGTTTATACCATAAAACACATGTACACAAACTAACATGTACATACGCTAACATGTACATACGCTAACATATACATACACTGAGAGCGATGTACTCACCTAGTTGTGATTGCAAGGGTCGATTCACAGCTCCTGGCTCCGGCTCTTCGCTAGTATCTACTAGGTCGCTGCTAGTGTCTCACTCAAAACAAACCAAGAAAAAACACACAAACCCATAATTTGGACGGGAAACTATGGACGACGTTTCGGACGAAGATGGATCGAAATGTGTTTTAATTTTTGTTGTTAGTTGTGGAGGAGAGTCTGTCTGCATCAAAGCTTCACACATACATGTAAAACAAAACATAACCCGGAGATTTACCAGATGTTTTATGAGCTGTTAAAACACGAGCATAAACACAGGATTCATGTTTTTTATTTGTAACAAAACAAATTTCAACAAACTTTAATTAATATAATTTTTTGAATTTTATTCCTGCCTAAAGTATTTAGGGTTAATTTTATTTGTATTATTATTATTAATTATTATTATCTAGAATCAAATAAAAAAAATATGCTCGCCTGATTTAATAAGCAGATTTTGTGCCAATTACGTCAAATTTATCTAAAAATATAGGGAGGTATCACCTCTAGAACTGTATTGGGGATCCTCATCCTCAGAGAAGAGAAACGTATCTTAAGGAAAACTCAAGGTTCTCCCCGGAGCTGTGTGTGTGTGTGTGTGTGTGTGTGTGTGTGTGTGTGTGTGTGTGTTTGGTGACACAGGAACCTGGCGCTACTGTGAAGTATTTGACAAAACAGAGATCTAACAACGCTTAAAAAGGTACCACTGCAAAGCCTGAAAAGACTCGCCTTCACCGTTGTAATTATAGAGACGAGTCAGGCTGTGACGAGGTCTCGACCAGCGTGAGTCAGGTGCTGCTCTGACTCGTGTATAAAGCCATACAGCGCTATATAAGCGGATGAGCGCCAGTCTTCCCGCTAATATACCAACATAAAATGATGTTGCCTTTAATTTTTAAAGAGGTGGGTCAGATTAGCCAGCGGAAGGTCTCGGTCATGGATCAAAAGCTCCAGGACAAATGCCTCTCTAGACCCATTTGTCATGTTAAATGAAGCTTACCCAGATCTCATCGATACACATACTAGTTAACTTGGGTGGCAGTCCCACCTGACGAGCCTGGTCCATGACCGGGCTCCGGGAATAGAGAAAATTCTTGAAACTTATCAAAAGGTATATCAGAGGTATAACTTTGGAAGCATACCGAGTAAATTCCTAAATAACAAAAAGGCACAATACCATGACTGGAACGATACACAAATAACCCGCATATAAAAGAGAGAAGCTTACGACGACGTTTCGGTCCGACTTTCTCGTAATAGTCACGGATTATTTTGAGATATACTGCAAAATTTTTTCTTGATTATAACATATATTTCATTTTGTATATATTCAGAGAACTATAAACTTTTATTCTTCAAAAATATTTTAGCGTAAATAAGGTTTTTTTCTCTGATTTATGTATAATTACGAAAATTGTTACCTATTTAGTTTTGCTAAAATTACTCACACAAAAATAATCGAAGTACAGTAGTAGGCAAGCACAAAAAAAAGCTGTATCATGCCAGGATAGTAAACCAGAAGGTTCTCTCCCCACCATACTTGTCTACACTGAATACTTGAAAACAAAACTATCACTTCTAATACTACTCTTACATTTCTATTACTCTTACATTTTCCATTAGATTTTGTACCACTGATAATGGTACAAAGCCTAATGGTCTCGTACAATTGATAATGGTCCAGAACGGACCTTGCCCACATTTATGTTGACCCTTTTGCCTCAGAGTTTCATATTTTTTTTAGTAAAATAATTATTTTGAATTTCAAGTAGTTCTTCGTGTCTGAGTATACAAAATTTGTTTAGAAGCTTGAAAGTTAGAGAGAGAGAGAGAGAGAGAGAGAGCGTATGTGATGAGTCTGTGACTCCAAGGTGAAAGTGCATGTCTAAGACGACCTCAATATTGATACTTGCTACGACGCCAGCACGACATTCCCCCCCCCCCTCTCTCTCTCTCTCTCTCTCTCTCTCTCTCTCTCTCTCTCTCTCTCTCTCTCTCAGCCTCTTTGCTTCATTAACAGTCCCTTTCCTTCAACACTGCTGAGCCATCCTGCCTTAACTGTAAACAAACAAAATTGATGAATTACATCATAAATGTGTGTTAGTGTGTGTGTGTGTGTGTGTGTGTGTGTGTGTGTGTGTGTGTGTGTGTGTGTATTTCATCATCAACACAATGGCACAAAGTTAGTAGTTGTTGACATTACAAATAACAAAAAAAAAAAACAGCAAAATCCCTTGCCATCAAACAACATTAACAATAACAATTATGTTTGACTGCTCTTGTTGCATATTATGAGTATCTCTCAAGCTCTCCCTCCTGTGTTGCAGGAAGGGTACGCCGCCGTGCATCTGGCTGCACTCTACAGCAGAGAAGAAACCATCCGGCACCTCGTGCAGAAGAAGGCTGACATCAACGCTACGGGCGGGGTAGGTGTCTTTCAGAGAATCCTCGTACTCTAAGGGGTAACAGCAGGAACTGGTAGGAGGGACTGGTTACCATCAGGAAAAGTCTGTACTGTAGGGGTAAGGCGGGGGAATAGGTGGCTATCAGGAAAATATGCAGGAGGAAGAGGTGGGAGGGATGTAGCTAACTGGAAAACTGTACTATAAGGGTAAGAACAGGAGGGATAGGATAATCTCAGGAAAATATACTTTAGTAGAACCAGGAGATGGTGGTAGAGATCGGTTACTATCAGGAAAACTCGATTCTATTGGGGTAGCAGCAGCAGGTGTAGACAAGGAGGTTCTCATGAAAGCTCTGTACTGTACGGGTAGAAGGGAAAGTAGGAGGAGGCTGCACTCACGCTCTCTCTACTGCAGGGGCAGCAAGAGAAGACTGTTACTCTCGGGATAGCTCTAAACTCTAGACTCTAGAGAAGGTTATTTACACTTTGTGATGAGTTTGTTGCTCCGAATGATGGTCAGAGGCAATGAAGATTATATAGTGGGTAAAGAATGAGTTCATCTAAGAGAAGGATTAGTTGATCTGATAAGAGGGGGATTAGTTGGTCTAAGGGACTTGCTGGGCAGATGGGAAAACAATTAGCAGTCAGTATTTCGTAAATGATTGGCTAGTCGAAGGGAACAAGGATTAGATAACAAAGAGAAAACAACCAATTAACTATACCGGAGTAGTATTGTCTGACTTGAAGCGAAGGATTAGCTTGCTAGGGAAGGAAAGAGTAGCTGAAAGATTAGCTGACTAGAGGCTAAAAAGATTCTCTGTCTAGACTCTAGACAGAGAATCTGTCTAGACTCTAGAGGGATAAAGAATTACTAATTCCTAGTTGAAAATTAACAATGTCTTTAGATCATAGATATGCAACATCATTAAGTTAATGAATTAACAATGTATTAGTCTGATTGAAAAGGTTAATGAGGATATTTACTCGTTAAAGCGTTTATTTGTTAAATATTGTTATTGTAAATGGTAAAAGGTTTGTTGAGAAATTCAGTGGCTTAGAACAGGGGCGTCCATTTTTTTTTTCACAAGTTTGCCATATGGCTAGAAATCCGTGTGTGTGTGTGTGTGTGTGTGTGTGTGTGTGTGTGTGTGTGTGTGTAGCATGATTTTTTCTTGCTAACAACAGTTAGTTATTATTACAAGATTTTTAGTAGTAATAAAACAATGCTGGAGACTTGGTGAGGAGTTAGTTAGGTCTTACTACTCTAGCAATTCACGTGTGCTTGTTAAATAGTTCAATTTTTTTTTATACGAGCCTGAGGTGGGCCGCACTCCGCAGTCAAGTGGGCCGCATTATGCTCACAGGCCACATGTTGGACGTCCCTGCGTTTTAGGTAGATGTAATTACCACGTAATGTAACTGTTTAACTATTCACCCTAACAGCATTTACAGTGCGCGTCACGGCATTATGCCGGGGCGCTCACCCGGCATAATGCCGTGACGAGCACTGTACTAACCACATTTCTTGTTCTCTTGTTTTGTCTTCTAAAATTTTAACTTGGCTTTGCAGATTAACTAAATGGATAATCACTCCACATACGAGATTTAAAAAAAAATACAATAATGTATCAGCAAAGGGAAAAACAGGAAAAAATATGGGGAAAATTTAATGGAAACTGTTCACTGCCGACTGAATATGATTTTCCTTTTAACTTGAAAAAAAAGTTAGTGTTCCAGAACAACTTTTGGTCAACACTAATATTGACAACAGAGGATAATTCATTCGTTTCGTTTAAAACTCAGTCCACAACAGGATTCGAAAGTGCGCACTCTTCATCAAAGCACACAGTACTTTGGCCACACAGCCAGAACCCAAAGTATGGGAGCCTAGCTGAAGCTAGACGGTGGATCCTATACCCTGGAGCACCAGACGTGTAATAAGTTATTGCATCAAATCCTGCACCATGCAGTTCACTGCATGCGGGAGGGATACCTGAAGACTGACAGAGAGCAAGCATGCATTTATAAAAGGGAAAAGGGACAAGAGAATGTGTAAGAATTATCGAAAAATAAGTATATTAATTAGACTAAGAATAGTGTACGGCAGAATTACTACGCGAAAGAGTTAAGGGTAAGACAAAGTTGGAATGTAAAGTAATAAAGATGATTTTGGAAAAGTAGGAAGTGAACATTGTAAGTGAAAATACTAAGATAAAGACAAGTAACTATGTCTGATTTAAGGATTTTAGAAAAGGCATACGATAGGGTGGATAAAGGAGCACAGTGGCGTACGTTTCAAGTACATGAAATATGTGATGAGTTCCTAACAAGGAGTAAAGAGTTTATTCGCGTATAGTGATGCTCAGGTTAAGGTTTGTTGGAGAGAAAGAATATTTTCCACTGAAAGTCTTAGACAGGGGTTTCTGATGTCACCATAGTTGCTTAACATATTTGTAGATGGAGTTGTAAAAGAAGTGAACGCTAGGGTGGTGGAAAGAGAGAGGTGTGGGATTCAAAGATAATGTGATATAAACTGGCAATTGTAACAGTTGCTCTTTGCCGATGACACGGTGCTTTTGGCTGATTCTAAAAAGTAACCAAGGTTGGTGTAGGAATCCGGGAGGGTATGTAAGAAAGCTAAATTAAAATTGAACATAGAAAAAACCAAGGTGATGAGAGTAGCCCCCCCCAAAAAAAAAAATATAGGCAATGCAATATTGAATATCAGATTGGAGGGAGTATGGGGAAAGTTAAGTGCTGGGAGCAGACAGGTCGGCAGATTGGTCTATGAAAGAAGAGGTGAATCTTTAAATAACTGAGTGGAATATAGGTAGGTGGTGTGTCGAGGCATATATAGTTCATGTATGGGAGGAAAATGGGGGAATAAACAGGAGCACAATAGCACCATCACTCGAACATGAATGTGAGGCATGAGCTTCGAACGTTGCAACGAGGAAGAGACTGCGGGTAAAAGAGATGCCATGTTGGAGAACAATGTGTGTTGTGTATTTTATGCAGAGACTTAGGAGCCTGGAGATTAGAAGACGGTGTGGGATTACCAAAAGTATAATTCGGAAGACCGAGGAGAGGTTGTTCAAATGTTTTGGGCATTTAGAGGAGCAGGATAGGATGATTAAGATGTATAAAACAAGGGTGAAAAGAAGGATGGAGAGGTTAGGGTCGTGTGTGTACTTAACATATGTACTTGCCTGTATGTGGTTGCAGGGATCGAGTCATAGCTCCTGGCTCCGCCTCTTCGCTAGTAACTCATAGGTCTACTCCCCACCCCGCTCCAAGAGCCTTATCGTACCACGTCTGAAAGCTATGTATGGATCCTGCCTCCACAACCTCACTCTAAGAAAGTTATCTTCATGGAGTGGGCTGGATCTGATGATCTTATGGATACCAGCTACCAACCCAACGTGTGTGTGTGTGTGTGTGTGTGTGTGTAGGAAAAATATTCTTAACAAAAAACAAGGCAGGAACGTTTAAATAATACATTAGCATAGAAGAAGGAAAAATAATGAGAGGTATATACCGCAAAAAATGGCAACAATAACTTGCCATCGTACGTAACATTACAATATATAAAACACTTTATAGTATATTTGTGATAAGAAAAATGACCCATAAAAATGCAGCAAAAACGTTACCTTGTCGAAGAGGTTTACCTGAGGGTGTCTAAAAGAGGTTTACCTAGGGGTGTCTACAAGAGGTTTACCTGGGAACGTTTCAAGAAACTTACATAGAGGGTATTTACTAAAGATTTACCTGGGAACGTTTACTAAAAGCCTAACGGGTATTTACAAGAGGTTTACATGAGGTATTTACAAGATGCTTACTTGGGGTTTTTACAAGAAGTTTACCAGGGAGTTTACAATAAGTTTAACTGTGGGTATTTACAAGAGATTTACCGCTGGCTCATCCCAGGTGGGTTCAGTCAGTTTATGAAGCGTTTGCAGCGAGTAGTGTCCTAAGATGGGATGATTTCTTATGTCCAGAAATATGACTGAAGACACAGGAAAATAATGACTGAAGACACATGAAAATAATGACTGAAGATACAGGAAAATAATGAACTGAAGACACAGGAAAATAATGGCTGAAGACACAGGAAAATAATGGCTGAAGACACATGAAAATAATGACTGAAGATACAGGAAAATAATGACTGAAGACACAGGAAAATAATGACTGAAGACACATGAAAATAATGACTGAAGATACAGGAAAATAATGAACTGAAGACACAGGAAAATAATGGCTGAAGACACAGGAAAATAATGGCTGAAGACACAGGAAAATAATGGCTGAAGACACAGGAAAATAATGAACTGAAGACACAGGAAATAATGACATTAAGTCTTGATAAAGAAGAGAGATAAAGAGAGAGAGAAATAAGGAAAAATCTTTAACACCGTCAACATGAAGAACAAATAGCTAGACATACAAACCAAGAAAAATAGTGAAAAAATCAACCAAAACATTTTGAAATGTGAATACTTACTCTCTCAATATTCAAATAAATCCAATGATTTTTCCAACCCAGCCAATCTTGCAACATATTTTTAATTCCCAATTAAAATTTACAACACAAAGGAAAGCTATACTTTTAGTTTATGTATACATTTCCCTCTCATCTGATTCCCTCTTCAGTCTATTGAAGATGACGACAATATACAGAAACATATTCAAAGTTGGGTTTAACTCTAATGATCTAAATCCTACCGTCTGTGCCTCTTTCTCCATCAGTTTAATTTTATTTCTGTGACTTTTCCCAGTTCTTCAGATGTTCATTTCTCCTCAAGGTCACTATATCTAGTGTAACATGTCGGAGGCATTCATGTTTTATGTGCACGTGTGTGTGTGTGTGTGTGTGTGTGTGTGTGTGTGTGTTACGCTAAGTGGTCATTCCTGACCTTGGAAAATAGAATAATGGGATTCCCCATCTTGTCTCAGCATTCCACACACACACACACACACACACACACACACACACACACACACACACACACACACACA